AAAAAAAAAAAAAAAAAAAAAAAAAAAAAAAAAAAAAAAAAAAAAAAAAAAAAAAAAAAAAAAAAAAAAAAAAAATTCAATTTACCTATTTTAATTCAGGAAATCTCTTTTAGGAAGTCTTTTAATTTGGAAATTTAATAAATATTTTAATAAAGTATGATACGAAACAGATACTGTCCCAAATCATCCAATAAATTTATTCAAAATTTGATACGACCCGTCGATTTCAATAATTCTTTGTATTAAATATATTTCATTAAACAATATTTCGATTATAAAATAATATGCTTTGTCATCAATAAGTCAATTTAGTTAAAAATTTAATTGGATATATTAATAAACTTCGTTGCAAAAAGAGTAAAAAAGAGTGTATTAGTGAAACCAAAATATGCTATATATTGCATATGCTCATGAAATATTTTATAAAGCACTTATTACTGTATGTTTACTAATTGGAATAAAGTAAAAAATTTCATATCTTAGGTTGTAATTAAATATCAGACATTTCCTCTGCTTCTTCTAACATCTCTTGGAACATCATCATTTCTTCTTCCAGATCTTGTTCACCTCTAGCATCATCATTTATCATTTCCATCAGTATTTGTTGATTCGCTTTGATAATTTTCAAACAATGTTTCCCCAATAGTTTTGCATTATAAGTTTTGGAAAATTTTTTGATTTCCAACACATTTTTCACTTTGCATTCATTTCCTATAGCTTCCTGCAGAATATTTTTGAGCGAATCAATCATATATTTGTCGGAGACCCTGAGTAGGTCAATTAATGATGAAATATCGCCGTCTCTCTTGAATGACTCGGCTTAATATGCTTTTTTAAAGGGCTGGCCATAAAGCCAACGAAGAAGAACTCGGAAAGTATCGGGTTTAAAGTCCTCGATGTTAATTGTTGCTTTTATATTTTCAGTGCCTTCTTTCATACTACTATGGAAAGAAGTTCTAAAGTGTTCTGATGCAGCTATTATGTATTCAAAGTTGGTGTTATTTTATTAGCGTTAATAATAAAAATTCACTTGGTGCTTGATGATAGTTCCCGTACCTGAAAGTACATATCGATTTGCGTAAATTTTTTCACCATCGGGAAAACAGAATTCAACATCATGATACGGTGTTTCTTCTTGTTTCTCCAAAAAATAAAGCAAATTCTTCAATAGATATGTTTCCTGATCCTGATACCGATTAACAAAATCTTCTTTCCTAAACTTGAAATCTTTTACTTCCCAGGCTCCTGCCAACGTTAGCAGTTTTTTGTAATCTTTTAAAAATGATGAAACCGTTTGCTTATCTTTTCTGATATCTTCAGAGGTTCCAAAGATCAAGCTATCTCCGGATAGCCAATTTTCCGGTTCGAATGGATTGTCTCCGTTTAAAAATAACCTTTTCTCACGTATTGCCGATTCAATTATTTCCTTGTTTTGATCTACTTGCGAGTTAATATATTCATAAATTTCTGTCATCATGTCTCGAAACTGCCTTCTGTTTCCATAATATCTCCAATCAACTCTTTCAGCTAATAATGTGACATTTTCCCAATGACAAATAACGTTCCATAGCTTAGGTCTGCATAAATCGGGGTGAGACTTTAAAAATTTCATCGGTGGAACAAGTGATTTGTCGAAAAGTGGAACGTTTGTCCACACCAAATTTGCATGTTTGTAAAAACAGGCAGAATTCAGAAAGGTTACTACGTCCTTTGTACCAGAATATTCTTGAGAATGCATATCTTCGTCAGTGGGAATAAATTTTATATTCAAAAGTTCATCCCATTGTTGTCGCTCAAACGATAATTTTTCAAAACTTGAAAACAATTCCATAACCAATCTTCGGGCCAATGTTTTGTTATTTTCTGCTTGCGGGGTTACGATGAACTTTCTTTCAATCTCGCGGGCGCACTCAATAAACGTGTGAGAGTTAATAGAATTCTTGAGTCCCATTCTCACTAGAGCGTTCAAAATATTTTTATTTCTTGAAATCGTATCGGTAAAAACTTATCGGTATCTCTGAAAATTTCGTGAAACAATCCCACATTTATGTCATAAAGTGTGTTGACTTTGAAAAGAACAGTGCGGTCTTTGTTTGGAATCGCTTTATTAATTTTGCTAAGATGTTCTTCAACTTCATTATTCCCCAGCAAAAGGATACTCTCCAAGAATTCCATATATTTATCATCGGGTGTAATTTTCATGAATTCATAATACCATTTGATATATTTAAGTTCGTTTGTTTTATTGGCATCAAGATAGGGAAGCAAATCGTAATCTGCATCTGATTCAACTTTGAAAATCTTTATGTGCTTGAACGAACATATTTTAAGCTTCGATTTGAGGAGATATCCTTTATGAGCCGCAATAAAATTATCTTGAGAGTATATGGACCAAATTGGTAGGCTTCGAATGATTTTTTTGACTTCCAAATCCAATTCTTTATCATTTTCGTTAGATCCTGTTTAGGTAAATATTAGGGAATAAGGGTATCAAAAAAAAAAAAAAAAAAAAAAAAAAAAGAATTATTTAAAGTTGATATAAAATGAATTTTAATAACCGCAAACATACTTATTTTCATTAAGAAGTTTCTGATAAAAGATCGGATTTCTGAAATATCGTTTTTATTCAATCGTTTAAAAATCTCATCCATCGATTTCTCAGAGCGTGATCTTGCTCGCTCGATCGATTTTAATATGTTGACCTCTGTCGGTTGATTTACACATTCCTTAAGCGTTGAATGTGCGGTATCGGTTAACTTTAAATCCGTAAATCTGATACCTAACTCGCTCAACACATTAATCATCAAAGAGTATCTAAGATCACCCTGAAATAATATTGGATTATTTTTATCGAACGGGACGAGTTTTCGATATGGATGGATCACCGGGAGAAGCGGAAACATGGCCAACCTATCATATTCAAATTCCGAATCTTCGCAAAGTTTTTCCAGAATAAGGTCAAGCCATTGTTTATAAGGGTATGATTCGTCCAAGAGATCCTGATTCATTCGTTCGGATATAGGAAATTCAATCTCGAGAAGGTTAAGAATACCGTTCGCGTTAAGTTCAGAGATTTTCAATAATTTAGAAATTTCTTTATTCTTAATATCGAATGGCAATTCGGTCACAAAGCGTGATGGCCTTGTCTTTTTAAACAACTTCTGATGATCTTCTTCAGCTATATAATATTCCATTTCGCAAAAGGTTCCAATAGTGTCACCGTAAAGAGGAACCAGTGGCATTCCAATTAGCCTTTCATAAATAGCCATATCCTGAGGTTCCGTGCTTTCTAGAATGAATCTTAATAAATAATCAATGACTTTCTTTACAATTTTTTGATCTCCGGATGTTATATAGGAATCCCATATTTTTCTCTTATCACGGAGCGTGTCCCATATCAAATTAGGAGTAATGAAGTTAGGAGGTTTGCAATTTAAAAGCCCCTTTAAAAGCTCAAGATGCTTATATTGTTCTTCTGATACTTTAACTATTTGAATATTTTGCTGCACAAGAATATCAGGTATAATGACCAATTCTTCCTTCAATTATGTAAAGACGGCGTCGGAAAATGAAATAAATTTTCCGCCATTTGCTTCCGTCCAAAATACGCGATAATCATGTTGAGACAGCTCCTTAAGAACTGCCAACCCAAATTTTCGATAAATTTCTGGTGTAGGAGGATTCGATTTAATTGGCCAATCCCTTGTTGTTACATATGGAATGAACTCTTCGTTCTGATTATTGCGCAAACTTTCAAACCGCTGCGAGTCGCGAATTGCAATTTCGTTAAGCAGCTTAGCATGCAATGATGGTAAAATTTCAAGTAATATGTATTTGTTCCATTTTTCTTGTCCATGTTCAGCACTTTCAGAAAGTATAATATTGCTTCGATCGCTTGACAGAATAAAATCTCCGCTCAACATTACACTTAGACCATTGCTTATTGGGAGAGACAAATATGAATACATTCTACCCTGTAAATTCGTCGAACAGTTCATCTAGAAAAATGATAATGTGAGTGTTCTCTTTCGAATTGTTTTGTAAAATATTCAATCCTTCATACTTTCTCGTCGTTTCCTTCCGTCTGTGCAACTAGTGCAGCGATAGCACCTCTAGGCTGCAGCAAAGGAAATATTCATAGTTAATTGAAAGCAAAAACAAGGATCCCAATTTTAGAAAAGTTTTACATACAAGCACTTTTTTTTTTATCAGTCAACTCTTTCAAATCTTCTCTAACTTGATTGTTTCCTCCAAAACATAAAATCCAATTTTCAAGTTTTGAACTCACAACATCATCATAATTGAATAATTGCATTTCAAGTTGAAATATTTTTGTCTCGTCGGTGATAGAGCAACGTGTATTCCTTATATTCTCGTTTATGTCATTGATTCTAGCCTCCCAGATCGGCTTGGACTGATACTCATCCAAATAGTGTACACTGCATTCTTCAATGTTTCTCAAAAACAGCATCTCTCTATCTCCCTGGATATCTTTGAATAAATTTAAAAGATCATTGGGATCGAACTTTTTATCAGATATTTTGCTTAAATTTTTCGTCTCGTAATTTCTCAGTGGAATTCTAAATAAGGTCCCATTATATTTTTTCGTTAAGTCGCATCCTTCCACGGCCATGTATGGTGCAGCCTGACCATACCACTTCTCTCTGAAATTTGCTCTTAAAAAGTTGTATCGACTCCCGAGTGGACTCCTTGGCGGATTTCCTAGTTCGGGAAGATATTTGGAATGTGGATCCAAAAACGCGATATATTCACCGCTTACTAAGCTCGGAAGATCGGTAAAGTTGAAAGCGGAGTTAAACCCAATTCCGAAACGACCAATTTTCGCTTTATCCGATTATTTGCCACCTTTTCCAATTTTAAGAAGCGACTCGAAGTCATTTCCTTTAAATTCCGCATCATTATAAATCCATAAGGCGGGACCTTGCCAGAGATGCATTTCTTTAGTTAGAAGGCTTGGTTGATCCTTTCCTCTGAAATCTCTTTCGTCGATGTATAATTTAAATACGCGAGCGCCTGCATCATCCGCATTCTATAATAAATAATATCATGAACAATTATGAAATATAAAAGCTTTACAATAATTCACGCGAAAGAATACCTGAAGAAATTCTTTGAATATGGAAGCAGGCAAGTAATCCTAAAATAATAACGATAATAATAATAATAATCCGTTTAGTTCTAATCCCACTAACGAGAAATATTTGCTGCAGTGCTTACTTGGATAATACTTGAAATTCGAGTAATCAAAGTTTCATTTTGCTCAAAAATTCGGGATTAAGGTCATCACTAGCACTATTAACTAATGCATACGTAAAAGAAAATTCCAGTTAATATAGGGAACGATGTAATCTTCGCCTACGTCAATAATGATAATTACATACTTTCTTTCACGGACAACATTTTCATGCCAATATTTTTTGCAATGCTCAGTGATATGGAAGGATGCGCGACGTGGTAAATTTTTTTCTCTTCGTCGGTTGACCTCGATCCCATGTCATCATACTGAACGTCGGCTAAATTTACGAGGATTTCTTGTGTGGTTGGTATAAGTAATTCTTGCAATATCTCTGTGAAACTTTTATCTTCCGTATACTTCTTCGAAATCTGATCAATTAATCCTACCACTTTGTCTATTTCACTAACAGACAGTTTAACGTGGGGATCATCCTGAACGTGCACTTTAATTATATTGATGTAATCTCTAATTCCAATTTCTGAACGGACTCCCATTCTTTCAAACAAATTGCTATAATTGCATTTGTATGCGTCCGGAAGTCCTACTATCAATGTGTCTTTGTTCCCGAAATCCTTAGGAAGGTCGAAAACAACATTTTCAGACGGATAGAATCGTCTATTAACCAAGATCCATTTCATATCCCTGAGATCCTCTTTTAATGTATCGATTTCATTTCCTTCACCGGACGCGTTTACAATTTTATTCATATGTTTATAAATTGCATCGCAAATCTCGTATATGTTAAGGATTTCTGACGATTCTTGAAAACACATCTGAAGCTGACAAAGGATGACTTTGATATCTGGATCTTTATCCCAACCAAGACGTTTAAGAAATTCTTCGTTTTTGATTCCGTAGTCGAGGATAGGTCTGGCATAACAAATTAAATGTTTCATTTCTAAATCTCTGCATTCTGATGGTTTTGAGAAACTCTTTTTCCCGGAATATTCTACGGTCGGAATCCATTCACGATCCAAAATTTCTGAGAAAAGTTGCGTGTTTTCAGGATCTTTATCAAATATAATATTCCAATTGTTATCGATATATTTGAGAAGATTCATTGCTTTCGTGTGCACCGTATCAGATAACCCTGATTTACTTTTGTAATCTTGGAATGTCCTTAAACGATCGATAATGTCATCAGGTAAAAGATATGTTTTAAGACCTAATTCCATAAGTGATTTTAGCTTTTGCGAAAATTTTTTGCACGGAAAAACTTTTTCATCCTCAAAGAATAGGTTAACAATTTTTTGGTCATTGGGGTCATATAGATCCATCGGTCCGAGATGTTTAAAATGTACATCAGAGCCGAGAGGATCCTTAAACATATTATGTGTGCCAGCAGTAACAAAAGGAAGTTGACCTAGTTTAACCTTTAAAGTAGAATCAGCTCGGAGAAGTTCTTCCAGGCGAACAAATAGTTTTTCTACCATAGCATCAAACACTGGTGAAGGTTGTGAGGTAAAATTTGGAATCACGTATTCTCTCCAATAATTTATTTGGGTTAATCTTGTAATCTTAATAATGTCTTCTAAAATATGTCGAGTATTGTTGTTCGAATTTACATCAAGAAAGCCGATATGATTAGGCATTTTCATGTGAACATAGTCACTCTCTTCCTCCTCTGGAAGTAAAAACCATTTTTCTTTCTTGTAGAATGAAGTCCGTCCTTCATGACCCATCTCAGAATAAATTGGAAAGTTCTTCATCACATCAATTACGACGTCTGAAAGTTTGGATACAACATTGTTTTGAAGATGTGCGCTTAAGTAATCGATTATTTCCAAAGCATCCTCAGTTCGCAAACAAAATTTCATATTTTTAGGGTAGGATGCCGATTCGTGCAAACACAATAAAACTGACGGTAAATTGGCAAGATCAATAACATACGAAGATAACCTGGAAAAATAAAATAAATGAACCACGCGTTTACATAATAATGTGCCAATGCGTATATCGAAGGCATTTGCTTACTTTGACCGGACATGCCCATAACGTTTCTCGAAATCTTTATCAACAAACGTGACACCAAACTTTTCTATAAGCGGTTGGACTTTATTGTCAAGTTCATTATCAATGATATTCCAAAGGCATTTTCCTTTGGCTTTTATTTTTCGCAGCTTCCCTCGGTTTGTTGGAATAAGATGCAAAGTTTCAAAGTCACTTGGCTCGTATTCTCTGTTCACAATGCCATCCCAAATCAGGTAAACCCATTCTTGTTGATCTTCCAATTCAATCTCGTCAGACGTGGCACAATAACCTTCTAGATTTTCCTTTATCAAATTAGCTACTACGGATGCGGTTAATATCTTCACGTTAATATCCCATTTCTTTTCCGCTCCCTCGTATAAAAGTCTCCATAAATCATGTGAGATGGTATTGTCAATAAAAATTTTCGAGCATTTATTGAAAATTTTAAGTTCGCATTCAATTGATG